TACAACAATTTCAACCCGCATGCTTTAACCCAATTACAGCGTATATATACTCGTCACTTTTTATATACACCGTTCTCACACATAATTCACATAGCAAATAGACCAACAAGTCCTAATCCCTCAAGTCAAAGTTAACCACGATACTTACCTCACTCCGTAACCAAATCAATGCTCAACCACGACTTTTCATTTAGAATTAGCCTCCAAACCAATAAAATCAACGACAAATATAGTTCAAATAATTTAAAATAGGCTTTAGAAACTACCCACGAGCGAAAAAAATTTAATCTTTAATGAGTTTGGAAAAGGTCAACAAAAGTCAACCCCGGGCCCGCTTGGTCAAAACAGAAGATTCGAAAAACAAACTCAATTACCCATTCAACCCCTAGCCCGATTATATAATTTGTTTTGAAATTTGACCTCAATTTGAGGTCTAAATCTAAATTTTATAAAATCCCCAATTTCTACCCAAATCCCTAATTTACTAACCAATGAATTAGGGATGAAAAACCTTTTCACAATCGCCCCTAGGCCGAGCTCTAACTTCAAAATGGTGGAAAATGGTTAAAGTCCCGACTTTAAGCGATTTTAATACCTAGGTGTCAGGTTTACTTCATGTTCGCGAAGCACCTGATGCGTTCGCAAAGAGCAGCAGCCAAATGGCCTTTGCATTCACGAGGTCCTCTTTGCATTCGCGAAGGCTTAAACCCCGCCTGCCTTTGTGTTCGTGAACCATGGTTCATGTTTGTGAAGAGGAACCGCTTGACTTGCCCCCAGATACCACAAAGCTATGTGTTTGCGAGAAGTTTGTCGCATTCGCGAAGGGTAAACCCTCCTCTACTTCGTGTTCACGACCAGGTCCTTGTGTTCGTGAAGAATAACCAATCCCCAACCCAAATTTTACCTTCACGATCACGAGATAAGCTTCGCGATCGCGAAGCACAACGCACCAGACACCAGAAACTGTTGAAAACCAGCAACCTCTTAAGTCTAAAATGGTCTGTAGCATACCCGACACTCACCCGAGCGCCTCAGGCTTTAAATCAAACATGTACACAAGTGTAATAAGATCATACAAACTCGTTCACGTGATAAAAATACCAAAATAACACCTACAACAATGAATCAGACATCAAAACGCATGAAATTTTAATAAAAAATCAAGAACCTCTAGAATTACAACTAAGCATCTGAATCCTATCAAACCAATTCCAAATTGCACCAAATTTTGCAGACAAGTTTCAAATAGAAAATTAGACACATAACAAGTCCCAAAATCAAAATTTGAACCCGATAGCCATAAAGTCAATCTACGGTCAAACCTAGGAAGTTTTCAAACTTTCAAATTGCTAACTTTTGGCAAAATAAGTCAAATCAACCTAGGGACCTCAGAATTTAATTTCGGGCATACGTGCAAGTCTAAAATCATAATACAGACCTACCGAAATCGTCAAAATATCGATCTAGGGTCGTTTACATAAAATGTTGACTGTAGTCAACTCAAGTTATTTTTAAAGCCAAAAATCATATTTTCTTCTAAATTTCACGTAAAACTTTTCCGGAAAAAGACCTGGTCTGCGCACGAAAATAAAGAAATATCAAATGAAGCTAATAGGGGTCTCGAAACATAGAAATAAGGGTTATTACTCAAAATAACCTATCAGATCGTCACACATAAAAATGTTCTTTTTTATTGGATAGCGATTAGATTTGAACTCATAATCTTTGCATGCTCAAATATAATATTGAATTATATGATAATTTTATCTAAAAGGGTTGAATTGTTGAGATTAATCCTTACAATACAACTAACCAAACGAACCACTGCATAAAAAACCAGTAGTATTATTCATTGTTTGGTTGGTCTTTTAAGAAAAAAAATCTTGGTGTAAAATCCAACACAACTAATATAATGTTTAGTTGGTTTTTTTCTTCATACATAATACCGTATAAACTAATAAAAATAATTTATGTAATATTTTATGCGGGGTAGAATATAAAATAAGAATACAAGTACATATATAATTATAGACCTCAATCACTCTTCAGAAATGGTGATAGAGATCTATGCTCGTACTGTAAGGTTATCCCGAGTGAGATTCTCTCGTCCCAACATAGGCTCTTGGTTATGTACTTAGAGATTAAGGGGGGAGGAAAAAGAGACATATGTATGGTCAACTTAGGATCAAGTGGGGAGCCTTCTTAAGGACAAAACACATGAGTTGGGGGAAAAGTTGCTAGCTGTGGGGGCTTGGAGGAGTAGTGGGGACGAGAATAATATGTGGACCACGACAACAAGTTGCATTTGGGAAGATGCTAGAGATTGTTAGGGGTCTCAAAAGGTCATTTGAGAGGTCACAAAGGGGATTGGTGGTGGAATAGTGAGATCCAAAGTAAAGTTGAAGCAAAGAAAGCAGCATACATGAATCTGGTGGAGAGCAAGGACGAGGAGGAAAAGATTGCTAATAGGGAGGGGTATAAGAAGGCAAGGACGGAGGCAAAGCTAGTAGTTATAGAGGCTACGACTGCAGCTTTTGAACGTCTGTAAGAAGAACTGGGAGCAAAGCGGGGATAAGAAGTTGTACAAGTTTTCCATGGTGAGAGAGAGGAAGGCCCGTGACTTGGACCAAGTGAAGTGCATTAAGGATGAGAAAGGCAAAGTATTGGTGGAAGAGGTACTTATTAGACGAAGATGGCAAACTGATAAGTGAGTATTTTACCAACTTGTCCATCTTTTAATCACTTTTGCTATGTTTGATTGATAACATCTTGTGTTTAATGGCATTCACTTCTATTTTACAGGTTTTATGTGATTTAGAAAGTGAAAACGAGTCAAAAAGGAGCTAAAATAAAGAATAGAAATCTGCCCACTGAATTACCTCTCGCGAACGCGAAGGAGTAAGGCTAACACGAAGCAGCAGGAACCCAAACCTTCGTGAACGCGAAGGACAGAACGCGAACACGAAGCTGCACAAGCCAAACCTTCGCGAACGCGAGGGATACATTGCGAAAGCGAAGCTGCAAAAATCAACTCTTCGCGAACGCGAAGTTCAGACCGCGAACGCGAAGCTGTAGGTAGTCAAACCTTCGTGAACGCGAAGGCTGGATCGCGAACGTGAAGAAGACATTTGCAGAAAAATTGGGCAGTTCTGGAATTTTACATTTTTTACCCCCAAACCATCTAATACACGACCTAGCTCATTTGTAAGATATCTTTGGCAGACATTGACAGTCTCTGCACATCTTGGGCAGCTTTTGTCCATTTTTGGAGCTAGGTTTCTTGCACACACACTTGGGTCTTGAAGATTTGGAGCTTTTGGTTGAGAATTTCTTACCCATTTATGTTCAATTCTTCATTTTCTTGCTTTGTATTGGATATCTAAGTGTGTAGTATTTTTTCTAGCATTTAAATCTTGCTTATGGTAATATTCATATTTAAAGTGTGGATTAAATACCTTGTTATACTTATGTATTGAACGATTTTTATTTATTGTGAATTGAGTTATTATTTCTTTAATTAATCTTGTTATTAAATATTTTCAAAGGGATTAGCTAACCCTAGGACTCGCCCATTCACTTCGAATTAATTTTGGAAAAAATAATTCGGGATTTGGAAAGATTAATTAATAAGAACTTGAGGCGTTAACCCTAACTTTATAGATTCTACCTAGGAATAGGATTGAGCTACTTATAGCCATATTCAGGTGTGCTTAATCTCTTAATTATTTTAGGGATAATTCAATTAGGAAGTCTTATTAGTCTTCGAAAGAAGCTAATATAGAATTATTACTCGAGGCTAAATAATTATTAACTCGTTCATATTTGTAAAATCGTGAAATATATTGGATCGTTACCTGAGTGTAATTCCCAATGCATCCATGCTTGAAGCCATTGATCATTTTACTTGCTTTCTAGGTTAGTTTACATTTTCGCAATTAGTTATAAATATTTTCTCAAAACCTTTCTACGTGTTTGGATTAGCATAATAAGTGATAATTCTCTTACATGCCTAATCGTCTACATATTGTTCTCTATGGGATTCGACCCCGACTCATAGTTGGGTAAATTATATTGCATGCGACCGTGTCCATTTACCTTTTAGTAGTGGATTTGGACGTCATCACAAACATACTTTCATAAATGCTTGAACGAAGAAGGGGATAAGAGCATTGTGCTAGGTGACTTGGAGCACGCTGAGAGTCGTCGAGATTTTGGATATTGTAAGCGTATTAAGGATGAGGAGGTTGTGGAGGTTATGCCTAATATGAGCAGGGGAAGAGCGACCGGGCCAGAGAAATTTTGATGGAATTTTGGAGGTACGCAAACTGGGAAGCCATCGAGTGTCTTACTAGGTTGTTTAATGTCATTTTTAGGACAAAAAAGATGCCCAAAGAATGGAGGTGGAGTACAATGATTCCGTTGTACAAGAACAAGGGCGATATCCAAAATTGCAATAACTATAGCGGTATCAAGCTACTAAGCCATACCATAAAAGTTTGGGAGAGAATGGTGGAAGCGAGGGTGAGGCGAAGTGTGTCTATTTCCTAGAACAAATTTGGATTTATGCTGGGGCGTTTGACTACGGAAGCTACTCATCTCGTTAGGAGACTGGTGGAGAAGTATAAAGAGAGAAAGAGAGACCTACATATAGTATTCATTGACCTTGAAAAAACATATGATAAAGTCCAGATGTTTGGAGGCTAGCGGTATTCCGGTAGCTTACATTAGGGTGATTAAGGACATGTATGATAAAGCTAAGACCCGGGTAAGGGTTATCATCTCGTAACCCTTTTTTATTTGCCTTGGCGATGGATGCTTTGACGCGCCACAATCATGGGGAGGTGCCATGATGCATATTATTCGCTGATAATATAGTATTGATTGATAAGACGCAAGGTTGGGTTAGCGCGAGGCAGGAGGTTTGGAGACAAACCCTAGAGTCGAAAGGTTTCAAGTTGAGCAGGAACAAGACATAATACTTGGAGTGCAAGTTCAATGATATGACTCATGAAGCAGATATGGACATGAGGCTTGATTCACAAGTCATCCCCAAGAGAGCTAGTTTTAAGTACCCTGGGTCAATAATCCATGATAATGGGGAGATTGATGATGATGTCATACATCGTATTGGAACAGGGTGGATGAAATGGAAGTTAGCACTGAGTGTGTTATGTGACAAGAATATACCTCTGCGACTTAACGGTAAGTTCTACAGAGTGGTGATTAGACCAACTACATTGTATGTGGCAGAGTGTTGGCCTGTCAAGAAATCTCACTTCCAGAAGATGAAAGTGGTAGAAATGAGAATGTTGAAATGGATGTATAGGCATACAAGGAGAGATAAGATTAGGAATGAAGATATTAGGGACATGGTAGGAGTGGTCTCTGTGCATGACAAGATACGAGAAGTGAGGTTAAGATGGTTCAGACATGTGAATAGAAGGGACACAACTGCCTTAGTGAGGAGATGCGAGAGGTTGGCTGTGGGGGATATGCGAAGAGGTAGAGGTAAGCCAAAGAAGTCGTAGCGGAAAGTAATTAGGCAGGACATGGCGCAACTCCAGCTAACCGGGGACATGACCTTTGATAAGAGGGTGTGAAGGTTGAGGATTATGGTTGAAGGTTAGTAGGTTTCTGAGCATTCGTCTTTTCCTTACCGGTAATATTTGTATTGTTTTGGCATTCCTTTAGGCTTATTTTTTACTATATGTTGTTCTCATTCTTACTTCTATACATATTATTGTCTTTTTCGCTTTGGTTTATTTAATATTGTGTTGTTGGTACTGTTTGCTGCTATTGCTTTTTTTTCATATTTTTTGTGCTGATGATCTATCGAAAACAACCTCTCTATCTTCACAAATGTAGAGGTAAGGTCTACGTACATCCTACTCTTCCCAAACCCCACTTGTGAGATTCTTTCTAGGTATGTAGTTGTTGTTGTTGAATACATGAATTAAAATAAGAAATGACAAAATTCCCATTATCGTTTTAGAATTTAGATCTCTTTCCTTTTCTAAAGCAGCGAATGTACTCTCTGAATTAGATTTCTTTTCTGGGTTAAAATTGGTTGTGTCCTCTGTGTGCTCGGTTACAACCTTCCAGTAAGCACTTGAAGTACTAGCATACATCAATTTCGAATTTCAGGTTGTATAACAAAAAGAGTTCTACTGGAGTTAAACAATGATTTCTAACAATTTCATATCAATTTCAAAAAGAAAAGCAGAAAATATATTTTTTAAATTATACAAATATGTATTAATTTAGGCTAATACAGAAAACCAAAAACTCAAAAGGAATTATTTCCTGCATAGTAATCCCTATATTACACTGCCGGCATAACTAGACTTGTTTGCTGATATCAGGTTCTTGGTCCAGATTGATTTGCCGACGTCTTTACTAGACTTGTTTGCTGCCAAGCTTCTTCATATGCGTTCTATATGTGTGTGGTCTTAATATCATACTAACACATATTCTGTTGGGAAGTGGTGGGGCTGGGGCTATTGACATAATGGTATATATATATATANATGAATTGACATGACTTCGAAGTAATAATACGTGGCTTGACTTTAAACATACTCCTTCCGTTTCAATTTATATGAACATATTTGACTGGACACAGAGTTTAAGAAAAAAAAGAAGATTTTTGAATTTATGGTGTAAAATAAGGCAATATAAACCATTGCATAAAGGTAAATTATTTCCAAATAAAAAAATAGATCATTCTTTTTGGCACGAATTAAAAATGAAATATGTTCATATAAATTGAACCATGTAGTATATCTTAAACCCACTTTTCTTTCAAAAATGGGCATGCTCGGCTAAAGGAGCAGCAGCAGAAAACACTTGGTCCTCAATCTTTAGGTTGTTTTTGGACCTGTCCGTCAGCATTGTCCTCATAATATGGTATGCCTTTTTATGATTGGTAATAAATTGTACTTAGATAATGTAATTTGATTTGTCATAAAGTTTTCTTTTTTAATTTTTAAAAAAAAAATATGTAATCTTAAAAGTTTAAGGGTCAAAAAGTTTTATGGGTTCATGATATTTGGTGGAAATGACACCAAGTAGTCACTTATAAGCATGTTGTTTAAAATATATCCATAATTTACAATGTATTTAAAGATTAGGCAATTTCGATCAAACTTCAGGACACGGCAGCCTAGAGTTTAAACCTCAACATTCAAATTTCAGGACAAAATATCTTAAAGTTCGAAAATTATGTCATGAAATTCGAGTTTTATGTCTTGAATTTTAAATTAGTAGTTCAGAAATTCATAACATTTAGTCCTGAATTTTAAATTAGCAGCTCAAAAATTCAGAACACTAAGTCCTGAATTTCCAAATTAAGGATACTTAGTCCTAACGCTTGGGATGAATTGGCTAATTTTTAAATACATCGTAAATTGTGGATATATTTTAAATAGCGGGCTTAAAAATGACTATTGCTGCACTTCGCCCTAATATTTGTGTGGCTATAAACACTTTTCATTAAAGGTAAAGTGTGAAAAATAAAAAGTTTAAAGTTAAATTGATTCTAAATATAAAAATATGTCATTCTTTTTGAAACAGACTAATCAATAAAGAGTGTCATTTAAATTAAAACGGATACAGTATAGCGTAATTTCCTAGCCTTCGTGGTCAACCTGACTCAATTATTGAGAGAGCAAATTTGTTAAGTCTCGTATGCAGAAAACACTCTCTTCACTTTTCTTTTATGTTAGCATTGAATAAAATATAATACTCCTCTTGTTTCAATTTGTTTGAATTTTTTTGGAGTCGAAGGTTAAATTTACTAATTATTTATGTGAATTTGAATGTAGATTTTTTAAAAAAAAAATTGAAATAAATTTGAAATATTTAAAAATTATATAAAAAATATTATATGTCACAATAGTTAATAATTTAAGATATCTAAAATTTATTGGCAAAAAATATGATCATAAGAAAATCTTTTTTTTTGACTATCCAAAATAGTAGGGTCGTCTTTTATAAACAAATGGAGTATATGGTATATTCAATGTTGTGGACTGAAATGCGACAATTGGAGTCTATATAATAAAACAAGTCTCACGTGTTAAATAAAACTGAGACTGATTAGTGCACCTGAATATCTCCCTAAAAATCAGGTTGTTGACAAATCCACCACCTTTTATATGCTTCATTGTTCTGGGAGAGATAAAAAGGAATATAATACTTTCATTGTTTAGAAAAGTTTAATTTTGTATATCTCATACTTTCTATTTTAGTTTATTTTCCGAAAAGAACTACTTCCTTATTTAGAAATAATTTAATTTTAAAATTCTTATTTTACTTTTTATGAGATGATTTATAGCTGCTACACAAATATATATGACTGTAGATCACAAATTTCAAAAAATTTATTATTTATTTTTTAAATTTCACCAAATACCACTACTTAAATTGGGACAGAGTGAATATACTTTTTCATCTCCGTGATCTAAAGGACAATTGGTGTACTTTCTTCCTGTTCATAATTAATTTCACCTAATTTTTAGGATGTCAATATATAAATGGGTTTATTGCAGAGAACACTCGTACCTTTTATTTTATGTCACTCTTCAAAGTTTTAGATGGAAATGGGACAATAAGATTCCATTCGATACAACATGTCTCATATAGTCATATGTAAAATATGAGGGTGAGATAGCTATGTCTACATTCATATCCCCCTTAAATACTGTTCTCGACAATGTGAGTACCTTTAATATGCTTCGTTGTGCTATCTTGAGAGAAAATAAAGACAAAAGAAAAAAGAAAAAAAAAGGAATGAAATATCTAATGTAAAGACGATGTAAAATTGAGGTAGGACTAAGTGTTGGTTATGACTTACGGTGTTTGTGTACGGTCAAAACCGATTTGAGTCAGTCGTACGGACTGGTCGAGACGACAATGTTTCGATCTAAGGATATCTGCATGACAAGGTCCGAAGTAAGGGCATCGAGCTTCGAGTTCAAAGACCGATCAATGACAAGCTCGGTATTATTATCGAGCCTATATCCAAATCGAACTACGAGGCAAAGCGGAGATTATCGAAGATATATAGACCGACCAACATTCACCCCGAATACCGAGACCCCAAGTCAGAATCGAGCTCGAACCAAGGTCGAGGGTTCGATCCAATACCGAGATCGAGCCAGTATCGAGCTCGTACACAAGAGCCGTTGCAACCGCACTATGGGATAGAATCTTGGCGGAAATCGAGGAAAAGACAATACATCCGAGGCTCTCCACTACGTATTTTTTATTGTATTTAAAGTAAGATCCCTCTACTATAAAGGGAGAATGTTATCATTTCTGAAGGGGTATTTTTTTTTTTTTGGGACATAGAGCTCACATTGTAATTCAAGCATCATATCCTCTTATATTCAAGAGTTACTCTTTTAAGCCTAAAAACTGATCCATCTTGCTTAGTCCTAAAAATCATCTTCTTTACAACGTTGTTTATTTTACATTCTTTGCGGTTCATATTTGATATTTCCTTTTATCCTTACAATTTGTATTAAGCTATATCACATATCCTTAGAACTACGTATAAATTCAACTCTATCCGTTTTTGGGTAAACAGTTTGGCGCCCACCGTGGGGCTAAGGATAACAATGGTTATTTGATATGAATCTGCAAAAACACACTGTTTTGCGCTTGTTTCTGAAAGTATCTTGGATTTCGGACTAGCAGCGACTAACTATTAATCAACTGGCCTCACCTATCGACAACGAAGCTGGTCTTCAAGATGAGAACAACAACTTTACACCAAGTACCGAAAGATCACTTGTTAATGCCGTTGGAGCTCGAATCGAAGTGCCGATAGATATTAATTCGCATGTGGCCATTGAGGCGAACCTACATTCTGAACCTGAAAATAGCATTCACGGTGTCACTCGGTCTGCATCTCGAGATACCCATCACGTCGAGGAAAACGGTGTCAACTTGCGTATGATTTTCGAGATGTTGCAAGCTCAACAGGTAGCAATAGCTCAGTTGCAGAGCCAAACCCAGCTACCGAGCAGGCCAGAGCCCAGTCCACCTCGAGAAATTACACACAGAACGGAGCCAGCCATAGTGAGGTCAAGTGAGCAAGAGTCGGGGACTACTCCTGAAATTGCTAAAATACTCGAGGAGCTCACGAAGCGAGTCGAAGCCAATGATAAAAAAGTAAAAACATACAATTTCAGGGTCGATCAGATCCCGGGAGCTCCACCAATGATAAAATGGCTAGATTCAAAAAAAATCATTCAAAAGCCTTTTCCCTCGAGTGCAACCCCAAAATCAATCCCCAAAAAATTCGGTATGCCCGAAATACCCAAATATAACAAAACGACCGACCCCAACGAGCACGTCACTTCTTACATGTGTGCTATCAAGGGCAATGATTTGGAAGATGATGAGATCGAATCTGCATTATTGAAAATATTCGGTGAAACCTTGTCAAAGGGGGAAATGGTATGGTATCATAATTTACCATCTAACTCTATTGATTCATTTCCTATGCTTGCAGATTGCTTCG